AATACCAGCCAGGTTGATCAATCTTTGGAATTCTGATCAAAATCAATTTGTTCACAAGACAATTATTGGGTGTTCTAGCAATGGGTAATGAGAAATAGGCTTATTTCCATTACACCATATGGTCTCCCAGTTTTTCTCAAGCAAAATGGGACCCATGTCTTCCTCATGTAATTCAAGGAAGGAAAAGAATGCTTAATTTCAGGCCAACTGGAACTTTTGTTTCAAAATTACATTTCAGATTGCTTTGGGATTCAAGAGCCAGCTCAGACTATATAGTTGCCCTAAATCAAGTTTAATTTAAATGTTTACTTGTGAAGAGCAAGTTCAGTTTCTACATAATTTTGATGTACAAACATCAAGTATTTCCTACAGAAAGGTGTATTTTATTAGCAATATTTAAAAATTAAGAATTAACATTGAATACCATTTTCTTTTCTTAAATTTAATGAACAAAATTTATCTCAAAAATACAATCAGAGGCAAACTCCTTTAACTTGGAGGAAATTATCAGATTAGATAATTAGGCATGCAGGAGTTATACGCATGTCAAGTCCATGGACAAATATTGTGGATATAAGCTTATCTTTGTGTTATAGAAAATAAACACAGAAACAATAGATAATAATGCAAATTATCAGCCCCCTACAAATCTGAACATGAGCCAAGTTCCATGGGTATGATTATCTCTTCCTTCTTGACAAGAAACTAAGGCACAAGCCCCTCTCTTATCTGACCCTTGTGAAGAAAAAAAAATCAGAACTGTGCAATAGATTCATTAGGATTTTGAGATATTCCAATGAAAATATTTATGCTTCCTGATTTATTATTGAAAAAGAGGCTGGAGTGTGTTCCATTACTCTTCAGTCCCAACAGTGAATAATATCATTGTACCATTACACATTGAATGGCAATATCATATCCTCAGGTACATTCATCATCCCAGATCACCACCAGTTTTCACAAAGAACCCACCAGGACTCCAGAACTAGAGTAGCATGTTACCCAGTATTCCCTTTCCATTGCCTTCTCCCACCCTCACCCCAATATCAGAAAACAAATTGGGAACATTATGAAGAGACTGCAGTCTAACACCTGTCAATGATTGAGAGTTGAAGGTTCTAATTCATCCTACAATGATCTTCCTAAGTTAGTATTTGTCCACTGCTACTCTGCTATTGCACTGAAGCTATTTACTCTTTTCCTACGCAGGTTTAAAGTCAAATAGTCCAGGAAACATCAAACCTTCATCCCAAGCAATAACAACTGGACACCGTGGTGAAACACTGCTACAGTATCCTCCTCACCCTGGGGCTAGTCTGTTCACCACTCCACCCCTCATGTTTCTATGACTCTGGTTGCTAGGCAGATAACTCTGCCTAGTGTCTAAGGGCCTGGGCTGGAGACATTTCTGAGGGAGAGGAAACCTGCTCCTTTTGTCTGAAATTTCCCACCCTTGCAGGTTAGGTGACTAGCTCTCTCACCTGGTCAGTCATAGGTCATTTGAAAGCACTGGAAAAGCCCCGTTGGCTGATGTCCTGGTGGGAACTTGAGGTCACAAAAAGTTATTTAAGATCCCTTCTTCCTGGAAGAGGGAGCCATGCTGGAAAGCAGGGAGACTGCCACATTGGAAAGAGCCATTTTGGGAACCATGTGAGTAACTGACCAGTCAAAAAGATGGGGATCTCTCTGGAAACTCACTAGCACTATGAACTGCCTCCCTCCAGAGGAAAGCTCAATCAGCCTCTAGAGTCTAGATGATATTTGTGAGCAACTTACCTGAAACCTACCTAGATACATAGTTTACTGTGATATAGATGCATGCTCAGTGACTACTTAGCCACACTGTTTGCTTGTTTTTTGATTCTTCTCTAACCTATACCATTCCCCAAGCCATTCCTCTTTAACCAATAAAGTTCTCCACTGTACATAGCGTGGTGGCCTGGCTAGGAGAGGGACCAGTTATGCCTTGGTGCCCACTTGGCCCAGCTGACTAAGGGAGGCATCTTTTTGTGCTTCAGGCTAAAGGAAGCATCCCAAGTTTTTTCAGTGGGTTAAGCACCCTCAAGGTCTAGCCCTGTGTACCCCAGGGGGCACAGGGCTGAAAACAGACCAGTTCCTCTGGGTGGTGGTGGTACCTGCAGGCTTGTGGGTGTTCTCTAGGAAGGGAGTTAGCCAGACAAGAGGTGGCCTTAGGGAGGGACTCAGAGCTTGGTAGGTGGTCAGATGCAGTTAGGTATGTGGCTTAGTACAGGAGTACCCCTGTAACAGGGGGCCTCCTTGGGGCTGATTTGCTGAAGCCCTACCCATCTGTTTTCTGGGCCAACCACCAGCCTTCTTCCTGCCACGCCTTATTGTTAATTAATTGAAGATCTTAATTAGGTGGGAGGCTGCCCATTTCTTGCCCCGATGCCAGTGGGTGCTATTTGCCGCTCTGTACCTCCTCTACACCGCAGCCCATGCCCACAGATGGCATCCAGCTGTTACTCTCACCGGCCCCACACTGGGCCCCAGAATCATCCTATCAGGACCCCTCCAAGATCCCTCCAACCAGATGGCCTACCCCACCTTCATTCAGGCTACCTAGCTCCCTGAAACAAGGGGGAAGAGGTTGGCGTTGTATACCTCAACTTTAAAAAAGCCTTCGATCTGGTATCCTATGATCACCACTTGGCTAAACTGGCTAACTACAGCCTTGATGCCACCACAATCCGCTGGCTAGGGAACTGGCTCTGTGGTAGGACCCAGAGGGTGGTGGTCGATGGGAGCCAATTGTCTTGGTGTGCTGTGACCAGTGGGGTCCCACAGTGCTTTGTCCTAGGGCCTATACTGTTTAACATCTTCATCAATGATGTGGACATTGGTGTCAGAAGCAAACTGGCCAAGTTCACCGATGACACTAAACTCTGGGGTAAAGCATCCACACCTGAGGATAGGAGGGTGATTCAGGTGAATCTGAACAGACTCATGAAATGGGCGGATGAGAACCTGATGGTGTTCAACACTGAAAAATGCAAGGTTCCTGCACCATGGTAGGCTCGGTAGTGCCTATGGATGAAAGGGACTTGGGGGTCATGGTTGACAACAAGATGAACATGAGCCTTCAGTGTGATGCTGTGGATAGTAAAGTGAGCAAAATGCTGGCTTGCATACATAGATACTTCTCAAGCAGATCCCAGGACATCATTCTCCTGCTGTACTTGGCCTTGGTGAGGCTGCAGCTGGAGTACTGCATCCAGTTTTGGGCTCCACAATTCAAAAGGGATGTGGAGAAGCTTGAGATGGTGCAGAGGAGAGCCATGCACATGATCAGAGGTCAAGAAAATAGACCTTATGATGAGAGGCTGAGAGCAATGGGGCTATTCAGCCTAGAAAAGCGCAGGCTCAGGGATGATCTGGTGGCTACCTATAAGTTTATCGGGGTGCTCATCAGGATCTGGGGGAACATCTGTTCACCAGAGGCCCCCAAAGGATGACAAAATCAAAATGGTCACAAACTTCACTGTGACTGATTCAGGCTGGACATAAGAAAGAACTTCTTCACTGTCCGAGCCACTAAGGTTTGGAATAGACTGCTGCCAGAGATGGTTCAAGCACCCACTTTGAATGCCTTCAAGACATATTTGGATACTTATCTTGCTGGGATCCTATGATCTCTGATGAATTCCTGCCCCTGGGCAGGGGGCTGGACTCGATGATACTTTGGGCTCCCTTCCAGCCCAAATGTCTATGAAATCTATGAAATTTTCCCCTCTCGGGTGTGGTCCCCCTGGGACCTTTGGCCATACAGGCCCTGGCCTCACCTTCAAGGCCATTTGGAAACTCCAGGCCCTCCTAGCTCTGGGCATCCCTTGCAGTGGGTCCCTGGCTCTTTTGACCATCCTGGTCCTAGCCCCAATATTGACGAGTTGAGGGTACTCTCAGTTAGGCCTCTGTCCAATACAAATACTGTCATGAGGGTTACGGACTTCTTGCTTTTAGCTTTGTTCTTTCATAAAGTATTTGACCATAAACCTGTCAATGACTGAGGGTGGAGAATTCCATGTTGTGCTTTACAAACCATAATATGTGGGCAGAAAATACTATATTCAGGAAGAAAAGGAGACAAGATTTTTGTGGCAGTGTTTTCATTGAACAGATATTGAGGATGTTAGCAAGAGTCTTCCAAAAGAATTGGAATAGGGAGCAGAGTATAGGAAAGATGGTCAAAGATGCAAAGCAAACACATTTTATCAGGCAGCTTTGCACTTCATCATATGGCTGTAACTGTCACTTAAATAGCACTAACCTATACATTATGCTTGTATTAGAAAAGAAAGAATGGCTCTTACTTTTGTCTACGCATTGCTCAAGGAACCAAGGTTTGCATTAAGTAGATACATTTTATTATTTTTCTTTCTTTATCTGTGTATTCTTCTTCCAAATGGTACAATATAAGACTCAGACAGCTATGGAGAAAGCTCTCATAAACATACACAGGCTGAAGATGTAGTTTCCCTGGCAACAGAAAGCTCTCAGAACAACTCATTCCTTCAGGTTGCAATTAAGTTTATGAGCCTTCACATCTGCTTGTATGGAGAATGAGACACCTGGGATTATGGGGGGGTTTTCAGAGCAGTGAGGAAGAAATTAGAGAACAATAGACATTACATAGCTGATTTTTTTTCTGTACTGTGTTCAGAATGAGCCCTCTCAAGTTCACTGTGATGGATCACTCAAAATATCTGGTGGGGATGGGATTAAAACTCTAGCTCTCAGGCTCTCCTACCTATCTTACAAGGAGCAAAGAAGCATTGAACTACCAAAAATGTTGACTTCCTTGTCTCTACTAAGGCAGGCTTGGGAGTGGAGGGGAGCATGATTTGCCTTGTAGATTATAACCAAACTCTTTCCTCTCTAGGAAAGAACATAAACCAGAGGAGGGAGAGAGTTCTGTAAAATGGTGCCTGGGAGTGAACAATGAAGCAGAGCAGCTTCCTATCATTAAGATCTACAGGTGGAGAAAACTCATTTCCTGTGCAATTTCAATATATTCTCCACACGCATAAAATATTTTTGAGCTTGGTAATTAGACTGGAAGAATTTACAGGGGTAGGATATATTTTTTAATGTCTTATTTGTAAATAATCTGCACCTCCCTCATTCTTGCATTCCTTCCCTCTGCAATTACTTCATCTGGCTGCCATCCCTCCACCCATGGCATTCAGCTCAACATTTTCAGGCCAACTGCAACAGCCAAACTGCTATTAGCATGTCTGAAAAATAAGTGTGTTTCCCCAGTTGTTCTCAGCTCCTGAGTCCACAGTAAGCATAGACTGAAAAAACCAAGAGCAGTTCATCCACTTGAGTCACACAGGCTTACAGCAGTTCAACACAATTCATGCTTGCAATGGGTATAAACTGAATGAATAATGGGGAGCAATGGTAATTTTCCCCATGAAAAGTCTAGGAAATTCCATATTCCAGATTTCACATTCATGGGCAGGAAACTCCTGTGTCAGCTTTTGGATTAAAAAATTCTCTCTTATGAGAATGTTGTTAGGATATGTAGATTTTTGGAGAACATTGGACCTGCAGCTGGAACAAGGCTTTGATCTGCCTCAGCAATGCCGCTGACCACAAGGCAGAACAATATATATTAAAAGTAAATTTGCGAATGCTTAGGCAAGTAGGTTTTAACCATATAATAGTATTTTTGTGAGATATATATAGCTTTATATATAAGATTTTGTTTATGAGTGCTTATGTTAGGTAACCATTTTAATTGTGTTAACCATTTTTCTGGAAAAAAAAAGTTGCAATTAAGTCTGTGTGCTGTGTGCCAGCTACAGCAAGGAACAAGATAAGATACAGGCGCCCAAAAAGGGTGAGGATGGCACAACCTGGGACAGAAAAACAGCTCAGAATGTGGAAGATAACATGTAACCAAGATAAACGTATGCAAAGGGTGACTGGTGATTGGTAAAGAAACCTCCAGAGCCCGCCCATTGACCACAGGAAGAAGGTTCGTGGCCTTAGACATGTGCTTAAAGGCATGCAAAAAGGCATGTAAATGAGTGAAATGCATAGGCTATTCCATGTTAATGAAACAAACAGTAAACAGAGGTGCAGCTCGAGATGGGAGGAGACATGGAACATAGGAGGGGTGAGGGTAGAATGAATGGTAATGAGCATAAACCAAAGTGTATAAATGCGGGGAAAAAAACTAGTGTTCAGTGCTGCTTCCCCAGTTTCACAGACTGTGCGTCTTTGAGAGAGCTCGCCCAAAGCTGTCTCCATTCTGAATAAAGCTGTTATGAACAATGCGTGCTAGTGTTTGCTCCCTGCTCTACTCTGGCTAATGAGTATCAGGATCCATGAGCAATTGGACCATCATCTCCCTACTCATTGGATGCCGCATGGAGTCAGGGTCTAACAACTGTAAATTATAGGATAGAAAATTGCATATATTTTCTTTTAAAAAATTCCTTAAGTGCCCACATCTATTGTTTTAGATCTGTCTCTCTCAATACGCATTTTAGGTTGGCTATCCTATGCTTCAGTGGTATTTATACAAGTGGCTTAAGTGACACAAGTACACAGTATCCATTTAATGGCACAAATCCAGGTCTCATTAAGTCACTTAAGTACTTCTGAAAAAGTCATTGCTGCATTTTTCATTTTTTCTAAAGCCAGATCTTAAAAAAAAAAAAAATTGGCATCAGTTTTCACACAAATATAGGCAGCTTCTAATTGTAATTGCAATACCCATGGTAATAACTCAGTGTCCCAGAGCACATTTTCTGGTGGTATTACAAAACTAAATTGTTTTTATTTAATTTGAGCAACATTATGTCATCATTTACAGTCATGCATGCTGAATGTATTTTCCAAGAGAGCAAACATAAAAACAGCAAAATGGATTGATGGACATGAGACCTGGGAAGAAACAAAACTTTCACTATGAAACTATGAAAGGAAACTTCAAATGACTATTAAATTGAAATATGATCAGGTATAATAGATGCTCTGGACAAATTAGATATTAAAAATATTTAAAAACCCCAACCTTATCAATGTTTTAGGTGGTATCTGGCTGTTCATGGTGGAGTCCTAAGACAGATAAGTCTATTTCCCAGGAGGAAATTGCATGTAGTTGTTCTGGTTCAAGGGATGAAACAGAAGTGGGTAAAGGGTTGAAAGAGAAAGATATGAACCAACATCAATAGGGGCTTACCTACTTCACAGAAGCGAGTTCCAGATTTCATAATTCTCTGGCACCATTAGGCACCATTTTTGTGGGGCAGGCCCCCCCATGCCTCTGACTGAGGGGCCCGAAAGATCCTGCCCCTCCCCAGAGATTAAGAGGTGGTCACCTGTCAATCTCTGGGGAGCAGTGGGACTTCTGGGACCCCTTGGTAACTATGGCCCTCCCCCTCATGTTCCAAGACACCAAGGTTCCCCACCATTGTGTTTGCAGGCACAGAAGCTTCCTTTCCCACCTCCACCCCCCACTGGTTCGCTACTGTTTTCTTGCTTGATTTTTCATGGGGGCATACCAAATTATGAGTTTCTGCAAAAGTGGTGATATCATGAATTTGGTAAGTCCCTAAACATTAAGTACAGGCACAGAGACAACTGGAACAAAGGAAAATAGCTTTGTGCAACAACAGATCCAGGACTGGGGTGAGACCACATGTGGCTAGACTGCACATGTGAGCTCTAAGCTCACTACCTGGTCAATGTACCTTACCAGCATATCAGCACAAGTTCTGGTGGGAGTCATCACTTTTTTGCAGCTCCAGAACCTGAAAAGCCAGTACTGCCACCACTCATCCCCTCTTTTCCTGTTTCACTAAATTCAGTGGAGGATGGAGGCTGAACACCATTGGTGCCCACCCATGAGCCTTGAAGCCATGTGAAAGTGATGGCTCTGGCCATGGCTAGCTCCAATCAGTTGGTGAGCTTAGAGTTCAATGTGCATGCAGAGCTCCAACATAAGCCTGTGTTGATGAGACAATGAGCTCAGAGCTTACTTTATATATACCTCACAGTTAAAGGGTGTATGATCGCACTGCCTCACTCTCCTGGATCTGCCATTGGCCTGCTGTGTAAAACTACCATAATCCCATGAAGTTGATGGCAATACTTTGTAAGCCAGCATGTGTAAAGTCAGTTTATTGTTTTATGATGTTATCTCCATAATGCTTTTGACTTAAAATAAGTGGTTCTCTGCTTGGTGAATGACCTGGTTACTGATCTACCTTGTCGTTATCAATGAGGAAAACTTGGATTGAAACAGACTTCACCTGACATGTCATTTGTGCTGCTATAAAAATTTGTGCCTGTTCCTAATGCTGAGGGATAGATGTTTATACCCTTTGTTGCACCACATGGACGGAAAATCAGTGGTACAACAAAAGGTGGTTATAGGCTGCTACTTTATTGTTGTGGACTTCTGTTACCTCTGTGGCACTTTCCCCTGCTCAACCAGATCTGCAAAACCCCCTATCACCTACTCAGTGAAACCCACAGGGAAAGCAGGGTGCTCACAAGGGTGGGGCAACAGGCAACGTGTTTCAACCAGTGAAGCAGATCAACTGTACCATCACTCATCTGATTTGTTTCATTCGGCAACATCTATTTTTAACCTGTGGTCAAGCCTCCTGTGGTTAACTGTCCTGAACTGCAAGGGAAATTCAGTCCAGAAAACCTGCTCTTAAAGGAAAGAGACAATTTCCTACCTGAACAAAAGGAACAGCTGAAGGCTGAAAGCACCTCTTTGATATAAAACATGTAGTTCAGTCCAAAACTTTGAAATGGAAAAAGGGCACAGGATGGCTTCTGTGAAAACATTGTTTTCAGGGACCTGTGATGCACTGGATAACTCATCTTTCTTTTACAGCTCCACAGTTAAATTGACATCTGACATGGCTACTTCATTTTTCTGTTGTTAACATCTTATCACTCTGGTAGGTTAAGCTGGATGGTAATAAAACCTGAAAGAGGGGGAAAAAATGTAAAAGATTATTTCTTTTAATCAACCTCCAGTTGACTATTCTTTAGATTCCTCCAGAGAATAACCTTCAAAGTACAGATAAGTTGATCTTCCTCCCTCCCCTCCCCTGCACTGCTGACCTAATATCAAAGAGTCAAATTCTGAAGTAATTTTAAAAGTATTGCAGCCATATTTTTGTCCATTAGCTTATTTTTCATTTCATGCCTAAAAGCATTGTTCCTTCTCTTATTTATTGTAGAGGCTTATCCATGTGTGTGTTATAGGGTAAAAGGAGAACCAAACCAAGCTGTCCACTTGTTATAGAACTTCTTTGTCTACAAAAGTAGAATTACTTCACACTTAGTGTGGTATTTCCAGTTCCTCTTTCTTTCCATTCTCCATGACCATACCCTTTGTGTAAATGTCACTAAGGACAGTGGGTATGGGAAAAGAATTGCCAAACCAAAAATGTGCTGCATTTCACCATGGCAGATAAAAATAACAACAGAATCATCAAGACTGTGGTGTACCAGGCCCTAATATTTTGGGGTAATTTGCATCATTTAATAAATCAGTTGCTCTATGTTTCAACTCATAAGCTGCTTCAAGACTTTAATATGACTTTCTCCTCTTCAGAAATGTTCTAATCAATTCAACTTACTCATAAAATCACCACAAACCTTTTTATAATAGCATCCCGTTAAATAATATTCAGTTATTACCACCTCTTATTTTCCAGGAAAACAAGGTGGATACATTTGGTCTACTTGAACATCTATTTCCCAGTTCTTGCATCATTCTGGTTGCCCTTACCTTATGTATAAAGCTATTCTCATCACTTGAGTAGAGTACCTACCAAGCTAATTCATTTTTGCAACATTCAAACCTAAATAGCACTAATTTGCTGCCCACTGATATAAGTGGCAATCTTATTGTCTTAATTGTCAGTTGGCAGTCTTGGCATTTTTCTTCATACTGTTTAGTCCTTGACCGTTATTCCATTTTAAAAAATAAACTCAGAATTTTTGTTTTGAATATTTGGAGTTTTCTAAAACATTTTTTATGGGCAGTCAACATATTTGGATATTCAGATACTCCACCTCATTTTGAAGTACGTTATTTTTATGGACAACATCCCAAATTATTTTAACACCTGTCTATTCGAAGTTGTAGCTAACAGTATTTATAGGGACTATGCAATGTATGATCAGTAAATGTGTTTTAACATTTATGAAAAACTCCAAGCTGAGTTTACATCAAAAACAAAATTAGGTTGGCAATCTTAATTCAACCTCTGTTGAGATGTCTTTGGCTGTCTCACCAAGACTATGTACAGACATTCAAAAAGCCTGAGGTGGATTTGAACTACCTTATGCAGGTTTATCTAAGTGGACCTAGCTGGTCTAGGAGCGAACAAAATCCCAGTTCACTCTTTTAATGGGGGCAGGGGAGGGGGAAGGGCACAAAGTCTGCCTGCAGTGGCCAGGCCAGCAGCCTGGGGTCATTCCTGCAAGCTCCCACCATGCCAAAAGCTGCAGAGGGCAGTGAATCCAGCCGAGCGGCAACCACCATTGGTTGCCTGGCACATGGCTCCCCTGCTACTCTGTCCCCTGTCAGGCAGCTGTCAGCTACAGACAGCCAGCGGAGGGAGGCATGCTTGACTTACTCAGGGGGTTTGGGGGTCCCTGGGGCTTTATCCAGGGTGGAACCCTGGGAAGTGCCCTCTTAATGGCCCTTTTTACACCTACCCCTGACTTGCCTGCAGCTCTTTTGCAGTGGGGCTTGCTTATATTTGTTTGCAAATGGAGCCAGGGAGCTGCGAGCAGCTGTGGCTGTCCTGTGGGGTGAGGGGGCTCCCCATAGCACACTTTCCCCTTCCCCCTCCTCCCATCACCACTCATGTCCTTGTGATTCAACCAAACCTGGCAGCTCCAGCCCCTGTGGCCAAGCACACTCAGCTCTCCACCTTTCAACTTGCCTTTCCCTCAGTGTTTTCCAGGATGATCCAAAGCTCCCACAAGTCAACAGGAGTCTCAGCTGGGCTGCAGGTCAGGCCCTTGGGGGCTTCTCCCCTGTTTCCCCACACTGAACTCCCCTCCACCCAAACACCCACCCACCCAAGAGGTTCCTCTACTTTCCCCTCCCTCCTACCCTGAGCTTCCCCAACCTCCAAAGTGGAGCCTACAGAATGCCCTGCTCTTGGCCAGCCTTGCCCCATGCAAATACATGTGAAGCAGATGAGCCAGCTAGGGACAGGGTGCTCCTGCGCACACAGTGGGAGCTGTATCTCACCCCCTCCTGCACTCCTGCAGCCAGAAAACCCTGTGATCCTGGGACCTGGGAGGGAGAGCACTGGTATCCCACTCATCCCTGTGCCCAGCTGGCTTTGTAAGGGAGCAGGGGCCAAGAGTCCTGAGCTGCTGTACGAGCAAAGACTTAAACAGCTGAGAATGGGTGTGTGGGTGTGTGTGTATGTGGGTGTGTGTCCATGCCTGCGTCCCAGCCCAGGTGTGGCAGGAATGCTACCTCCACATTTTCCAGGCAGCTACCATGTCAGATGAAGAGCTCTGAATAACAAAGACAAGTTTTAGAGCAGCAGCAGCAGGGTTGGCTAAGTGATGTCAGCAGAACTGACACATGCATTTTTGCACAATTTTTGCACACACACACAGCTGTTTCTCTCTCCTCTCAATTGCTCACACACACACACACACACACACACGTGCCCAGGACATGATCTCTGACACTCGGCTCCTTAAGGGACACTGGCCTTTCTGCCTCAGGCACCAGGAGAAGCATTCCCACACCTGCATCCCCAACCAGCTGCTGTAAAACCAGTCATGAGGAGAGTTCATCTGGCTGCTTCTGGCTGACTTGTATACGCATGCACACACAAACACAGAGACATACATACATCCTCAAAATCCCCCTGAGCACCAGTGCCGCCAGCAGCAGCAGCAGCAGCAGCGGTGGCA